TATATACTCTCTAAAGTATATAAGATTTGGTACCTAAACCCATCATATTACCTTGTTTTTTATCATATATAGATTGTGATCATCTAAAGTTCTTAAAATTCACTTCCAATCTTTTTAAAAATTTCACCATTATCTATCTCTTACATCACATCTTTCTGTTGAACACCTACCAAACCATATATATTATAGTTATAAATGAAAATTATGAAAATTGAGTTTTAAGAACATTAGGTGATTACAATGCATATATGATACAAAAACGACATGATATGGTGTGTTTAAGTACCTATGCTTATATACTTTGTAGGGTTCACTTTTATATATATATATATATATATATATATATATATATATATATATATATGTGTGTGTGTGTGTGTTAGGTTCCAAAGTGAACAAAAAAATATGGAGCCAAAAAACCAATAGTGTGTCGGAATTCAAAATATCACTATAATGATATATATTTACTAGTTTGATGTGCATGTATCGAATTATAACGAAAACCCAACTTTTTAAAAAAATATATTTAGGGCTTATTTTTATTGAAAAAAAGCTTAATATATCAAAATTAATAATTTGTTGCCCTCTATAAATATACATTTATATTGGTATATATTGTTTTAGTTTCGGCGCGTATTCATATACTAGTTGTGATACTCATGTATTAATGGGTTAATTTAAAAAATAGTTAAATTTAAAGGTCAAAATATTTGAAAACTTTGAATTTATAAGAAAATAAGAAAATAATGAATTATTATAATTTAAATGTTTTTTATCTTTTAAATTTAAACAAGTAATTTAAATAATAAAAAAAAACTAATGAGCTTTAATTTTGGGAATTTTGAAATTAAAATGCTAGTTTATTAATGAAATTAATATCCATTTATTGCTACATTTATTGTAATTATTACATTAAAATTTTATGTAAAATTTTATAAAATAGAAAATTCATAAATGACATATGGAAAAAAAAAATTCAAAATAACCACAAAATGACATTTGGCAAATTGAATGAGAATGTGACAAGTGGCAACAAAAACCTTCATTTATTAGAGAGAATAAATTTGAATTGTATCCGGTTCATAAAATAATCATTCCACGTTCTAATTGACAATGCATAATTATATTATTTTTAATAGATTCATTTTCAGTTACATTGTAAATCTGAATTATATATTATTTTTATACTTATTAGTCCACATTAATGATCATTATGCCCTTTTGCAATGTATCATTTACATATTTATGAATCTTAATAAATTTACTTATTAATCTCAATAAATTCACTTATTACTCTCAATAAAGTCATTTGTATATAATCTGTACATATGACGGTGATACTAAAATCTAAAAAGTAGAAAACAATTTAATTTCTCAAATCTAAAATCAATAGCATTATTTGGATTCTAATGTGAATTTAATTAGAATCACATATGAATGTAAATATTTATTTAAATTCACAAATAAATTTTATATATCTAGATTATCAATCATTTACATAGATATTTAATAATTATATTCGTCACTCGTATGTGAATTTAATAATTATATTCGTCACTCGTATGTGAATGACAATTATGTAAACTAAAAAATTGATAGACTACTCTTGTACATCATCATGATCATACACATTAAATATTAAATATTAACAATTAAAAATTTATATGTTAACTAGTAATTACTAAATAATCAATAATTGTTAAAAAAAAACGAGTACAATAAAAATTCAAATGAGAATTATATTAAATAAAATTAGTTTCAAATGTGAATATAAGCTTAAACTTCTAAAATAAGTTTGTTGTTTTTATATATAGATGTCTATTTATAAAGGACAAAAACTTAAATTTTTTGATATATTTATTTTTTTCAATTAAAAATAAGGGTATCCACAATGTATTGAACTGCATAAAGTTCAATGGGTTGTAACATTATTTTTCTACAATTTATACAATTCTATCATTTTTTTTCCTACATTGAACTCTACAAAGTTTAATAGAATACTACAAAAAAAAATTCATAACAAAATTAAAAAAAGACATTTATGAAAATATGTTATTATTTTATTGCATCAACCTTGTATTTAAGAACGTCACATACTCACATATATTTACCAAGTTCTTATTCCTTTGGATAATGGGATTCTAAATCACAACCTTTCCTTTTCTCAAAAGTGCCAATATATGGAATTATGATCATCATGATAGAATCTCCTATGAATGCCATTCATCTTCAGAGGCAGGCATATATGCTCTCAATCAATATCATTATATAATTATGAAAAAGAAATATATAAAGTGGGAAACAATAGTGCACTTTATACCTCATTATATGTTCAGATATTCACTTTATTTTCTTTATCCTAATCATGATTGTTAGTGGAATTTTGCAGGTGTTTTTAATGATTTTAAATATTTAAAAGCTACTAATCTTTATATATAAATATTAATATCTCTGAGTGGATCATACGTCTATTTAGTTACTAATTTATAGTATTTCAATGCTATTATACCAAAAAAACACTTTTTCATATTCTATTATTTCTATTTGTGATTAAACACCTTTATGTTATTTGCGGAATTGGTTAATAATAATGTCTGGAAGAGTCCTTGGGGAATTGATTATATTTATTTTTTTATATAATATTATGGCAGATGTTGTGTTTGTCTTGGTGAATTTGAAATGAATGAAGAGTTGATTCAAGTCCCTTCATGCAAGCATGTGTTCCACAAGGACTGTATTCACCATTGGCTTCAATCCAATTCCACTTGCCCACTCTGTAGATGTTGTGTCTTCTTAGCTGTGGGGCCTATCTCGCGACCTGTACGATCGCAATTTCAGCCGAACATCCATGAGCCCAATTTCAGTGGTGATGGCCCAGCAACTGAAGTTGTAACATCGGCAGCAGAAAGCACTAGCACGGCAAATGCAGCTAGTAGCAGTGTTAGCGACTGTTCAAGAGTCACCTCCACCTCTAATGACATCAACCATGTTGTATCTAGTGAACTTTCTGTTGTCATACATGTTGAAGCCTAGTAATACATTAAATACGTTATTCAGCTCATTGTATTTTTTGTGTAGTGTATGAGTTGGTTGTACTTTTTCCATAACCATGCAATCGATGTTGATGTCGATGCAATGGGATATGTATTGTAGAACCAAATATAATGAGAATTATCTTTAAGGAAAGATGTCAGATGACATCGAATTAAAAGAGAGTCCAACCATTTAAGTTTGTAATAATCTTATATGGATTAATTGTTGTGAGGAACTGCAATTTGTAGTGGGAATTGCAAGATGAAACCAACAAGATTAAAGGGAGATTGTAACATCTCAAAATATAAAACCAAAAATTTCATTTTTAATTTAATAATTATAAAACCATTTGTCTGAAAACATCCATAATATCAACTCATATCAAAACCACTGTATCAATAGTCAAAACATGTCATGATAAAACAATATCAGAGTAAAACTCCCAGAGATCTCATGTGCGGAAAATGTAGTGTCATGCGTTGCGATCATGCCGGCTCCTTTCCCTTCGAAGAGGAAGTACCTGAAACCAAAACTGAAAACTGTAAACACGAAGCTTAGTGAGTTCCCCCATCATACCACATAATAACATACTGTCAGACATATCTAGGTACCCGGCCTACCCTGTCAGGCATATCTGGGTGCCCGACCTACCCTGTCAAGCATATATGGGTGCTCGACCTATCCTGTCAAGCATATTTGGGTGCTCGACCTACCCTGCCAGGCATATCTGGGTGCCCGACCTACCCTCCGGTTTATCTCAACCGGTTACGGGGACTATTTCACCCCCTACCACTACCACATAATACATAGCATAAACATACCGTCAGACATATCTGGATGCCCGACCTACCCTCCGATTTATTTCAACCTGTTCCGGGGACTATCTCACCCCTCCTACCACTATCACATAATATCATAGCATACTAGCACATAAAGCATAACAGATAGTGGCATACCAGATAATTATCACAAAGACAATCATCTCTACTATAATAAGCTACTAGTGGGTCGGCATTGGTGCCTTCGACCCACTTCTACTGGAAGGTAACTCACCTCAAATGTTGTAAAGTAGCTGAACGGTCCTCTGCTCTGAAATCAACCCCACTCAAACTCATACACATAAAATATCTCCTTTAATTACCCTTTCATACCAATAACCCCTTAAGGGTCAACTTTGGTCAAAGTCAAAGTCAAAATCAACATTCTGGTCAAAGTCAACATTCCTAGTTGACTCAACTCGCCGATTTGGCCCTTCAACTCGCCGAGTCCCATAAATCATAAAACCCTGAAATCGCGATCCAACTCGTCGAGTTCTTTCACGAACTCGTCGAGTTCCTCCTATCAACAGAATCGGGACTTTCTTACTCAGCTCGTCGAGTTCGTCCTTGAACTCGTCGAGTCCTTCCTTTTACATAATCAGGACACTTCGACCCAACTCGTCGAGTTCCTCTATGAACTCGTCGAGTTCTTCAGTCTGTTAAGCTTTCTGAATGTATTAAGCCATTATTCTTCGAGTCTAAGTCTCATATTCCAGATCTGGGTCGAATACACCTCTAGGAGGGTAAAGTTTCCGACTTTACCTAGTAAGACCCATCCTAGAAGAAATGAGCCCTAACCCTAGCTCAAAATGGCTTAGTTCCAACTTCAAAAATCATTAAAACTTCAAGATAAGCCAAGGGGTCATAGATCTGGACTCTAGGGATAGTTTGGTCACGTAAAGTTCCTATCTTTACTTGCATGCATAGACTACTTGGCTAAAAAGGCCAAAAAGATGGTCCACAAGTTGCATGGGACTTCCATGGCTATAAAGTTGGCACCTTTATGCCATGAAGTCCCCTAAAGACCCCAGATCTGAAAGGTTTGCCCACATGGGACGTCCAAGTCCCAAAGATCAACATTCTTGGACCAAAATATGGAGAAAATATCCTAAAACTAGATCTAAACATACTATAGACAAGATAGGAGCTTTATACCTTATATGAACCACAAATGAAGCTCAACTTCTGGATCTACTCTCCTCCTACACGCCCTTGCTCCTTCTTCAAGTATCTTCTTCAGGAACTGGGTGTTACAAATCTCCCCCACTTATTTCAGACTTCGTCCTCAAAGTCTGCTGCGTCTGGAAATAGCTCTGGGTAGTGCTCTCTCATCTCATCCTCTGGCTCCCATGTCCATTCTGAGCCCTTGCGGTGCTGCCATTGCACCTTCACCAACTCTACCCTCTTGTTCCTCAGATCCTTCGTTTTCCTATCGAGAATAGCTACCGGTCTCTCGATGTAGTTCACGTTGTCATCCACCTGAATATCCTCTAAAGGCACCACTGCGGAGTCATCTACTAAGCACTTGCGCAGTTGGGAGACATGAAAGTTGTTGTGGATATGACTAAGCTCGGATGGAAGATCCAGTCGATACGCAACCCGGCCCACCCGGGCCACTACCCTGAACGAACCAATGTATCTAGGGCCCAACTTTCCCCGCTTCCTGAACCGGATGACACCTTTCCAAGGTGACACCTTCATGAGGACCGTATCTCCTACCTGAAACTCCAGGTCTGATCGACGTCTGTCGGCGTAGCTCTTCTGCCGACTCTGGGCCGTCTAGAGTCTACTCTGGACCGTTAGATCTTCTCCGTCGTCTTGAGTACCACTTTGGTACCCCCCCCATGACCCTCTGTCCAACCTCACCCCACATATCGGGGTTCTGCACTTCCTCCCATAAAGCATCTAGAAGGGAGGACGGTCGATACTGGCATGGTAGCTATTATTGTAGGAAAACTCTGCCAGGGGAAGGTAGGTATCCCAGCTACCACCGAAGTCTAAAACGCACACCCGTAGCATATCCTCCAAGGTATGGATGGTCCGCTCGCTCTGACCACCCGACTATGGGTGAAAAGCCGTGTTAAAGTGCAGACGAGTACCCAACTCGTCATGAAATTTCTTCCAGAATCTGGAAGTGAACCGTGCATCTCGATCAGAAATCACGGAAACTAGCACCCCGTGCCAAGCTACTACTTCTCTGATGTAGATGTCAGCCAGCTTCTCGGCCGAAATGCTCTCCTAGATCGGAATAAAATGGACACTCTTGGTCAATCGATCCACGATGACCCAAATCGAATCCACTCCCCGTGCGGTCTTGGGAAACTTCGTGATGAAATCCATAGTAATATCCTCCCATTTCCACACAGGGATATCCAACGGCTGCGTCTTGCCGTGAGGTCTCTGGTGCTCGGCATTGACCTTCCTGCAGGTCAAGAATCTCTCAACGTACCATGCTACATACCGCTTCATGCAGGGCGACTAGTAATCAGGACGAATATCTCTATACATCTTCGTCGCCTTGGGATGGATGGAAACTTTGGATTTGTGCGTCTCCTCCATCAGGATTTGGCACACACCGCCCGCGTACGGAACCCACACTCTACGATGTAGTGTCAACAGCCCGCAACTATCATAGTCGAAGGAGGAAATATGACCCACGATACGCTCACTCTTCCGGTGTTCCTCCTTCATAGCCTCCTGTTGGGCCTCCCGGATCCGCTCCAAAAGCGGAGTCACTACTGTCATCCTCAGGCAGATGTCTTTGATCGAGGCTGCGAATGCCTTGCAGCTAAGTGCATCGGCTACAACGTTGGCCTTCCCCGGGTGGTAGAGGATCTCGCAGTCGTAATCCTTCACCACGTCTAACCATCACCATTGTCTCATGTTCAGATTTGGCTGGTCCATCAGATACCTCAGGCTCTTGTGGTCCGTGTAAATGGTACAACGGACCTCATAGAGGTAGTGTCGCCAAATCTTGAGGGCGAAAACGACCGCCCCTAACTCCAGATCGTGCGTCGGGTAATTTGCCTCGTGAGGCTTCAGCCGCCTCGAAGCGTAAGCGAGGACGTGCCCCCTCTGTATCAACAATGTGCCCAAACCCGAGATGGACGCATCACAGTATAATACAAAATCCTCAACGCCCTCTGGTAGGGATAGGATCGGCGCCTCGCACAACCTCTGCCTCAAAGTCTCGAACGCTGCCTGCTGCTCAGGCCCCCAGTGAAAGACAACGACCTTCTTCATCATCCGGGTCAGGGGTATCACTATCTTGGAGAAATCATGAATGAATCTCCGATAATAGCTTACTAGACCGAGGAAACTCCGAATCTCGGATGGAGACTTCGGAACCTCCCATCTCATCACGGCCTCCACTTTGGCCGGGTCGACCAAAATACCGTTCTGGTTGACAAGGTGCCCCAGAAACTGCACCTCGTGCAACCAGAACTCTCACTTGGAGAACTTGGCATACAATCTCTCCCTCCTCAGGGTATCCAACACATCTCGCAAGTGCTCCTCGTGCTTCTCCTGCGTCTTGGAGTAAACCAAGATGTCATCAATAGAGAAGATAACTAGAACGTATGAGTGCACGGTATGCCAATATCTGTTATCTCCACTGAGATAATAGAATCATCTCCTAGTTCAGGCCGTCACTCAAAAACCTCTAGGAACCAGAGTAGTCATAATTATATCGGATCGGCTATGGTAAAGAATGGGATATCCATTTACCAATTAGTCGAGTCCTTTAACACGCTAGCATTCAAGTTGCTCCATTCAGAACCTTCTGTGGTCACAAGTACATATTCTATCTGCGAATAAAGTAGGTAATACGCAACTAGCTAGAGATCCAATTTCCACACAGCACCCTCGCTGATCTGGAATTCATCCGAGAAACTACCAAAAACAAAATACGAATCGGGAAACGCCATAAAGCTTCCAGAGCTAACCAGAGAAGCTACGGCTTCGATAAAAGAAAACCCTTGGAATTCCAGGATTGATGACCCTGTCATATGAAGGTCTCACCCTGGAAGGACAAGATGCGCTTGTGAAAGCGTGGAATACAAAATTCAAGGCACATAAGACCATTTGAGATTCTTACCAGAATCGGTCTTGTACTTTTAAACTTAAACTACCACCAAAAACTTAATGACATTCATCCCATCTTTCACATATCAAATCTAAAGAGGTGTTTATCCGATAAAACACTTGTTATTTCACTCAATGAAATCAAAG